TTATTTAGAGAGAAAGAAAGGAAGTGAGAAACATTTATTCATTGTTCCATTTATTTATGTATTCATTGGCTGCTTCTTATATGTGCCCTGACCAGAGGTCAGACTCGCAATGTTTACATATAGGGACAACACTCTAACCAACTGAGCTACCTGGCCCAGGCTGCCAATGCTTTCTCATTAATTTTTAAAAAATATATATTTTATTGATTTTTTTACAGAGAGGAAGGGAGAGAGATAGAGAGCCAGAAACATCGATGAGAGAGAAACATCGACCAGTTGCCTCTTGTACACCCCCTACCGGGGATGTGCCCCCAACCAAGGTACATGCCCTTGACAGGAATCGAACCCAGGACCCTTCAGCCCACAGACCGATGCTCTACCACTGAGCCAAACCGGTTTCGGCATCTCATTAATTTTTAATGCCCTTTTCAATGGTGTCTTGCATTTTTTTTTTTTAAATATATTTTATTGATTTTTATACAGAGAGGAAGGGAGAGAGATAGAGAGTTAGAAACATCGATGAGAGAGAGTCATCGATCAGCTGCCTCTTGCACACCCCCTACTGGGGATATGCCCGCAACCAAGGTACATGCCCTTGACCGGAATCGAACCCGGGACCTTTCAGTCCCCAAGCCGACGCTCTATCCATTGAGCCAAACCGGTCTCGGCTGTGTCTTGCATTTTTCTGGACTTTTTATATCATAAATTGGTTCAGATGAGGCAGCCATGAGTTCTATGGGTTGGATTAACTTTGGTGTTTTAGACTTTTAATTTATAGGAGGAAAAATCTACTTATGGCATTCTAGCATTTATTTTACCAGGCCCTATGCATGATCCTAGAAATATAAAGATGAAAGAAGACTGGTTCTGCCCTCAAGGAATTCATAATCTAGTAGGAGAATTTAAAGAATTTTTTAAAAAATGACATAAGTGTTTATTAAAGTGTATCATCTAGGACAGAGGAAGGCACAGCTAATTTTTGTAGACTACCAAGAATAATCAGAAAAACCTTCCTCCCTTTCAAACTATATGAAAGTGTAATTCCCAGCTCTTTTTGCAGCGTTTGAAAATATAAAATAACAAGAAGGTACAAGTCTGTAGTTTGCCTTTCAGCTTCCAATTCAATTTAAGCCGTGTCTTCTTAATCACTTTCTTGTAATGCATTAGTTATTTTAAAAAATATTTTTATTGATTTCAGGGAGGAAAGGAGAGGGAGAGAGAGATAGAAACATCAATGATGAGAGAGAATCATTGATTGGCTGCCTCCTGCATGCCCCACACTGGGGATCAAGTCCACAACCCGGGCATATGCCCTGACCGGGAATTGAACCATGACCTCCTGGTTCATAGGTTGATTGATGCTTAACCACTGAGCCAAGCCACCGGGTGCATTGGTTATTTTTAACTGTGCCAGAGTTCGTGGATGTTTTCTTTGCAAGTTCTCCCAAAACTCTGGTCTTTGACCGCAGTAGTCCAAAATGGCTTGTCTGTAGATAGCATTTTTAGTTTAAACTAAAATTAATGTTAATTCCACATGGTGATATCACACTTAGTTTCTGCTTTGTTCCTAAGGAGGATAAATCTTTTAAGAGCAAGAGCCTGGTAGCTCAAAATGAATTTCATGACCTGCATTTCTTAGTAGCTACTTCGCCTTTAGCATCTTTTCTGCTTGATGCGTTGATAAAAGCTTGTCCTAGTTTCTTGAACCTGTTTTGTAACAATAATTCAGCTTGAATTTTCTCCTTCCTTATTGTTTCCTTGAGGTTTAAAACTAGCACATTGATTTTTTTCCCCCTGAAAATTTCAATTCCAGGGAAGATTTTCTTTCCTATTAATCTCTTCAGAGATCCTTGGCAGAACCAGTTATGTCTATTAATTTTCTCTTTATAATTATAATCTGATAAATTGACATCTCAACATATACTCTCTCTTGTGGGTGTTTCTTCAATTGTTTTGAGTTTGATGTTACCATTCCTTATGCTATAATACTTTAATATCTCATGCCCTCTCTCTGTTTTAATCAATTTAATAATGCCTGCTTATCTTCAGGGTTATGAAGTTGTCTTCTGATTTAGTGGATGACTATTTGTTTGGGTAAACTTTTCAGAAACATGCTTTGATAATTTAAGAACTTGAAAAGCCCATCTAAATAGAAGGATGACTTTTTCCCCTTTCCTTAATATTCAACAGAGTCACAAAAATACACTTGGCTTTAACATCTCTTATGTATCTCCACTTTTCTTAAGACTAATGTTTTGTATGTTTCACTGAAATATTTCCTCTACCACTGAAGTATTGCCAGAATCTATTATTGTGTAATCTATGGCAGAAGATAAATCTAAAAGTGGTGGCTCTTTATTAGGAAAACAAAACATTAGTTGAAAGGTCGTCATTCTGTTTAAAGAATATTGCAAAGATCTTCAACCCACTCACTAATTGTCTTTGTTTTCAGGTTATAATACGTGCCTATTATAGAAAACTTCTGTGAATATAGAAAAATATAAAGAAGACAACTGTCAACAGTCAGTATTTCCACCAGCAATAGAGTCTACCTGTTACTTCTGCAACCCCAAATTTTCTCAAAGCCTTAGTCTAGCAACCACCTCCTACCCTTTTCTAAGTCTTCCCAGACTGTGCAGGGCATTAAGAATAGAGACTGACTTTAAATGTAAGAGTCCTTAGGATTTTTATGGAAGGAATGGAGTTGTAGGAAAAACCTACAAATTGCTCCACAGATGACATCTTGTTCTTATTTAGCTTTCTTTGAGTCATTAACAGTCGGGCGCCACTGGTGCTGAAACTTATCATTATTATAACCGCAAATGGGTTAATGCCCAAACAAAGCTATATTCTTGGGGCTGGTTCCCAGCTCCACCACACAGACCTCAGCAGCAGCACCCTCCAAGCCCCAGGATAATGCTCCACAAATAAGAGGATGTCAGATGTTCAGCCCGAACTGAAAATTCAATTCTTTTATCTTGTAGCTTCCAGTTGCTGGCAAGGCAGAGCAAAAGAAAAAAATGAATAAATAAAAGCCAAGCCAATAAACCCTAAAAAAAGAGGTTGTGTGGTTTAGTGGTCAGACCACTAGCCTGGGGGTTGGGATGGTGAGATCCAGTTTCAGGTCATCCACTATTGGCTGGATGATGACAGACAATTCATTTTCCTATATTCCTCAGGTTTCCTACTTAGAAAAGGAGAAATGCCTTACAAAGTTCTTAGGACAGATGAAACGGTCTGCAAATAGCTTCAAGTTGCTTGGAAGTAAAATGAACTTGTAACCCTTAACAATTACTATCCTATTCCTTTATTAATAATAGTAATAAGCCACAAGCGTGAAAGTTATAAACTCCCATACCCTTAAGCTACATTGGTAAGGAGAATGGGGAAGGGGTGAGGGGGAAGGGGTGAGGGGGAAGGAAGAGACAAATATTTTCGTCATATTTGTAGGACTTCAAATCAAATATCAAATTAGTAAATTCATTACCTCAAAATAATAAATGCTGTTTCTAGTTTGGGTCTGTCCCTTTTTCCTTACCGCATCTAAACTCAGAGTGACTCACAGGAACCTAGAAGTGAGACACATATACAATTTTAAGGGAAAGGGAGAATTAGGAGGTTTGAAGCTCCTGGTAGAGGAGGCTAAGAATAAACCACTCAAAACTCAAAGAGAATCTCCTTTTTCTTTTTCCTCCCAATGTAGGTGGCCCACTGGTTTCCCAGGCATTCTTTTGATAGCATGATTTTTGTTTTCTTCCTTTTCACAAAACCTCACCTTCTCTTTTTTTTCAGTGTGTGTGTGGGGGAGGCACAAGCTAAAAAAGTGAGAGCAGAGTGGCTTTTTCTAATAGGTTTCAACTGTGACAAGTGCTACAGACCACCAACCTGCTTTTGGGAGTGAAAGGGAGCGAAAAGAGAAATATCGGGATCTCTGGAAACTTAAAAAGAATGAATGTTCTTCTCTCTTAAAGAATTGAGCAATTAGGCAAATGAGGAAAGAAATCCAATACGTGTCTTGGTCTGTGCATCTCATCCCTTCAAGAAGTGAAGTGTTGCTCTAGCTCCTTTGGCTCAGCGGCTAGAGTGTCTTCCTATGGACTGAAGGGTCCCAGGTTCCATTCCAGTCAAGGGCTCATGCCCAGGTTGTGTGCTTGAGCCCCAGCAAGGAGCATGCATGCGGCAGCTGATCAATGATTCTCTCTCATCATTGCTGTTTCTCTCTCTCTCTCTCTCTCTCTCTCTCTCTCTCTCTCTCTCTCTCTCTCCCCCCCTTCCTCTCTGAAATCAATTTAAAACTTTTTTTTTTTTTTTTTTTAATAAAAAGAGTGATCCTCTTAAAAAAAAAAAAAAGAAAATAGAGATGTGAAGTCTCTTGGTAGGAAAAAAGAAAAACACTTGGGTATACCAAACATTAAGGTATAGGAGTAGAAGGAGAGACTACAGATAGAGGATTTTGAGAGGAAATGTTAATGAACTGTTAGAGGATTTAATGAGCACCTTCTGTTGTAGGATGTGTGTACACAGATTTTAATGAGTAGCCTTGTTATAGGAGCAACCAAGATATAAGCACTTGAAAGCATTTTGTATCAAATAAAGAGAGTAAATAATAGATAAAAAATAGGTAATGAGATATTGTTTACGGAAATTTAGGGGTGGGAGCTATTGTGAGGATAACAGCTGTATCAAGCAGGAATAGTTATGAAATTCAGAAGTTGAGAATATGGGAGGCTGGCAATGATTCCCCCCCTATCCCCCCCAATTCCTCTAAAACAAACTCCTCCAGAATTCTTGACTCCTAAGAAGACTGGGCCGCCGAGAAGCGACTGTTCCCGGAACTCGCGTGGCCAGCTTGGCGTTGTGGTACGGAAACTGTTTGCGTGACACCCCCTCCGCCTCCTTCCTCTCCTCCGGCTGCGTAGATGCCATGGCAACGGAGAGCGCTGGTGACCTGGCTTCCGGAAGCAGGAGAGCTACAGCTCGGAAGCTATCCTTGACAAATGATGCTGAGTCCGGAGCGCCTAGCCCTACCAGACTACGAGTATCTGGGTAGGAACCTTGGGGAAGGAAAGAAGTGCAGACACATTAGGCGAAGGCGGGGTCCGTGTGGGAACCGGTCGGTCTGGGATGAGGATGAGCGGGGAAGGGGGCGCGTTGGGGTCCTGAGCCTGTTAGGCCCAGCGAGGCGGAAAACAGAACCTGGGGAGTAAAGAATGTCTGAAGTGTACGGGCTGTAGCTCAGGCTATGAGGGTTGTGTTCAAAGTGGGATAGGTTGGAGTTGAGAATTTGGGGTCCCTGAGGGGGCCCTTTATTGATATGCTGGTAGTGGAGTAACCATGAAACTTGAAGTGCCAAATCAGGCATGCTATGAATAATCATGTTACCATTACATAGTGGCAACTAACAATTGTGAGCGTTTATTTTACATTACGGACTCTGCTAAACATCTTACATGCATTCTTTATTGAATCGTCACAACAGCTCTGGAGGAAATGCTGTATTTTTCTTCCATTTTGAAGCTGGAGAAACTGAGGCTGAAGAGGTAACTTACACAAATGAGACCACACAGCTAGGAAAGGCTGTAGCTAGTACTTTATTGAGCACCGTCAGTGTGTAAGGCACTTACTGGATGAAAAAAGGATGTATGCACACACATTTTAAAAAATTGATATATCTTATTTTCTAGAGCAGTTTCAAGTTTACAGAAAATTGAGCAGATTTTATACATAGTATTCCGTCTTTCCCCTACTCAAGAGTTTCCCTTACTATTAACACCTGGCATTAGTATAGTATCTTTGTTATAATTGATGAGCCAGTGTTGACACATTATTATTAACTAAAGTCCATAGCTTACATTAGGGTTCATTCTTTGTGTTGCAGTTCTCTGGGTTTTAATATATAATGTCATGTAACTGTCATTATAGTATCATGCAGAATAGTTTCACTGGTCTAAAAATTCTCTGTGTTCTACCTCTTCATCCTTACCCCTGCACCCCAACCCTTGGCAACCACTAATCTTTTTACTGTCTTTAAAGTTTTACTTTTCCAGAATGTCATAGAATTGGAGTCAGGCAATAAAGTGGCTTCTTTCACTTAAGCAATATGCATTTAAGGTCCCTGAATATAACTAGGAGATATAACTATGCCCCTTTCCTGGCTTGATAGCTCATTTCTTTTTATAATTGAATAATATTCAATTGTTTAGGTGTATTATACACATTTTTTAATGAAAAAACAATTCTAGTTTAAAATTTTCAATTGATAATATAGAAACTGGATTTAAAATATAAAGAAGTTTAAAAAATAAAATATAAAGAAGTTTATAGTGAAAAGTCTCCTGCCACCTTTCCCCACCCCTTCTTGCCAGTAACCACTATTACTTGTTTCCTAAGTATCCTCCCAGAGTTTATTTTATTATATACATAAAGGAGAATACAGTGCATACTTTTTAAATTTAAAATATCAGAGTAATTTATCAGAAGAGAGCCTCTTCATTCTTTTTTTTAGCTGTATAGTATATAAATAATTTATTTAACCAGTTCTCCATTGGTAGACAATAAGTTGTGTTTAGCCTTTTGCTACTACTAAAAATACTGCACTGAATAACCATAACCTGTAGTTTTGTTCCCTTACTAGTATATCTGCAAGGATCAATTCCACAAAGTAGAATCAGCAGATCAGGGGTATATGCATTTTAAATATTGATAGTTATTGTCAAATTGTTCTTCCTGGGGGTTGTGTTGGCCATGTAAGAGCATGCCTATTTCTCCATAGTCTTTTCAATAAAATAGATCAAGCTTTTGGATATTTTCAACCTGTTAAATGACAAATAGCCCCAGGAGGATTAATATGCATTTTTTAAATGAAATTGACCTTCTTTTCACCAAGTTTAAGGACAACTTGGTTTTTGGAAAGGCATATGTAGCCCTGGCTGGTGCACTTCAGTAATTGGGCTTCATCAAGGGCTGAAGTGCACTTGGTCCAACAATTGGTCCCTCTCACATCAATGTTTCTCTTTTTTCTCTCTCCCTTCCTCTTTAAAAATAAAAAATATTTTTAAAAAAGGCATACATTTGACTCAGTGATCCCACTTCTAGGAATATATCCTAAGAAGCGAGAAACACCAATCAGAAAGAATTATACTTAGCTGCAAGAGAAGCTGAGTAATATAGTCTGTATGCCAATAGCCATGAATCTAGGAAAAAGTGGAATTTGTTTCTAAGGAGGAAGAGGCTGCTGGAGCTGGCAAAATAAACTAATGAACAAAAAAGATCCAGACACATTGAAACATGCAGCAGACTGATTTATTTCAGAGGGAAGGGGATGGGGGTGGGGGTGGAGACTAACTAGTGAATTTATATGCATATATGCATAGCTCATGGACAGACAATAGTGCAGGAAGGCCTAGGGAGGGGGTGGAAGCAGGGTGAAGAGCATCAATGGGGGGGAATTGGGGACATTTGTAATACTTTCAACAATAAAGATAACTTTTTAAAAAATATATTTTATTGGTTTTGTACAGAGAGGAAGGGAGAGAGATAGAGAGTCAGAAACATCGATGAGAGAGAGTCATCGATCAGCTGCCTCTTGCACACCCCCTACTGGGGATATGCCTGCAACCAGAGTACATGCCCTTGACCGGAATCGAACCCGGGACCTTTCAGTCCCCAAGCCGACGCTCTATCCATTGAGCCAAACTGGACCTGGCTAAAGATAACTTTTAAAAAAAGACATGGATAGAGAGAGAGAAATTGTAGTCAGCCAAAAGGGCATAGTTATATCACAGATAAATTTGCATCTAATAAATATCAATGTCTAGTAATACTAGATTTTTGCTAAGGATTTTACATATTTTATATATCCAGTACTCAATCTATGAAGTATTTAAAAAGCCTAGCCCATTATTTATTTTGTTGGGTGTTTACTGTTTAAATTATATGTCTCAAAGGCTTGGCATATTTAATATACAATCTAAGTGAAAAGAGGTCAGTGCCCCTGACAGAATAATCAGGTGCTGCATGTTGTAAAAATTCTTTGGCACACCAGTTGAAAAATCTCTGGCCTAAACCATTCCAGGCCATGATTACAGGTTCCTAATCCACAAAGTCCGTGGGGAATAGATCAGTTTATACAACATGGTGAGAGGTTGTTTTCTTCACTAATATTTGAAAAGGCAAGTATAAGCCCTGGCTAGCAGATAGAAAGGGAAACCTATAGATATTTGGTAGTCCCTCTATAAATGGCTTTTTCAGGAAATCCAATTTGTGTCAGTGCTGATAATGAATCTACAAACAAATCAAAGTCTCAGGTTGCCTCAGTGTTCGACCATCTACCTAATCCTTGAACCCTGACCAAGCGAACCTTAAGGCTCTGTGGCATTTAAGTATATTAACCCCCTGTCTTAATCACCTCTGGACACTCATATTGCTCATACTACTTACTGTTTTCCTCATGGTTCATCAAACCATACAACTCTGCTGAAATGCATTTATCTTTGGTTGAGAACAACCCTTGCCCATGTAAATTTGGTCTCTTTTAGAGGCAAGCTGTTTTGAAGCATTCACCCTCAATTTAACGACCATTTAATGACTATTCCTTGTATATTAATTTAATAAAATATTTCCTGGTTTTGCATTTTTAAATACCCGTGGAGGGTTTTGGTTTTGTTTTCATTCTTTTTTTTCTTTTTTAAAAAGTGTAGTCACTTACATGTATAGGCCTAGAGAAGAAAATATATATGGAGAAAAGAAAATTGCAGAGACTAGAAAGCTCTAACCATTCAGCGAAACAAAAGCCAAAGCTGAGCGCCCTTTTGGTAAGTGTGTCAAGGACCTCTTTTTAGTATCCTGGTGTAAATTACAGGGATACCTATGATATCTACCTCTCATCATGTATAAACTGATCTATTCCCCACTGACGTTGTGGATTAGGAATCTGTAATCATGGCCTGGAATGGTTTAGGCCAGAGATTTTCAACTGGTATGCCATAGAAATTTTAAAACATGCAATATCTGATTGTTCAGTCAGGGGCACTGACCTCTTTTCACTTACATTGTCAAATTTAAAAAAAAAAAAAAATGGCCGAAACCGGTTTGGCTCAGTGGATAGAGCATCAGCTTGCGGACTGAAGGGTCCCGGGTTCAATTCCGGTCAAGGGCATGTACCTTGGTTATGGGCACATTCCCAGTGGGGGTATGCAGGAGGCAGCTGATCAATGTTTCTGACTCTGTCCCTCGCTCTTCCTCTCTGTAAAAAAAATCAATAAAATATATTTTTTAAAAAATGACAACAGCCAACTCACCAAATAGCTGTCAGGTGTGAATATCCTGTCTTGAATCATAAATGTATAGATCATAAAATAGAGTTGTATCTTATTGGTCATGTCTCATTGATAAGGTCTCATTGATTACCAGAAATCTTTGTATAGGCACCTGATTTTTAAAATATAGGCACCTGATTTTTAAAAGAGGCACTTTGGTCCTAGCCGGTTTCTCAGTGCTTAGAGCGTCAGCCCATGTACTGAAAAGTCCCAGGTTTGATTCTGGTCAAGGGCAAATACCTTGATTGCATTCTCTGTCCCTGGCCCTGGTTGGAGCACATTGGGGAGGCAACCACATTGATGTTTTTCTCTCTCTGTCTCTCCCCTTCCCTTCCACTCTCTCTAAAAAACAGTGGAAAAATATCCTTGGATTAACAACAACCACTTTGGAGCAAAAAGAGTAATTACTATTATTTTTTTTAAAAAATCAATTATATCTATTTTTGTCAGATTGGCAAAAAAATAGAATATATTTTTTAGTGTGCTGCAGAGTTTTAGTAATTAGGTTATGTGTGCCATAAGATGAAAAAGTTTAAAAATCGCTGGCTTAGGATCTTAAGATTGTTATAGAATCAGCTCGATGATGTTTATGCCTGCAACTGTCAGAATGTAGTGATAGAAATTATGTTAATGCTCAGGCCTAAATAGGGAGATGAGAGTCTGGAAAGGAGATGAAATAAATATAGAACCCTTGAAAGAGTTCCAGCCTTATGCATACTTATTGGAAGC